ATGGGAGCGAGCTTCCATCACACTTTTTCTTATAGTTTCAAGTGTATTTAAGGGATTTATATTAGTGTCAGACTTCTGCTTTTTTCTTTATACTTTTCTCATTCCAAATGCTTTGGCATACCTGCATGTAATGTGCCTTACAGATATGGTGTCTTTTTTTTTTTTTTTCGATATCTTTTTTGCATATATGCAGCGATGCTGAGAGTAGCAGCATGGGTGGTACTTTGGCAGTGAATTGATTACGTTACCACGCGTCCTAATTCAGATAATCCTTTTAAACTGTTACAGTGGGGATTCTAAATGCATACGATTTGAAATGGTAGCAGAATTTTAGGATCTGACATCACTCTGCAGCGCTAACCTTCTGTTCCCCTCTGCTGTACCTCAGTCTTCAATCTTGCAGCTGATTTTTTTTTTCATCAGTGAGATGGGAGGATAAGACCTGCACAGTAATGAGGAAGTGAAGGGTTGGAAGAGCCATGTACTCCACTTCTGAGTTAAGTGTTGTTTCCCCACCCACAACCAACATCCTCAGGCTCTTGGAAAGGGCCGGAGCCCGGCTGCTACTTACTTGTGTAATGAGGCAGAAAGAGTACACAGCGTCATTTCTCACCTTTAGCTCTCCAGCAAGATCAGATTTGAAGTAGGGCAGAGGGATGAGTAACTGACTGGAAAAGCAAATTGTATCCCGGGCTCCATCAGAAGAGGGGTGGCCAGCAGGGACAGGGAGGTGATTGTCCCTCTCTACTCTGCTCTTCTGGGGCCCCATCTGGAGTACTGCGTCCAGGTCTGGAGCCCACAGTACAGAGCTGTTGGAGAGGGTCCAGCGGAGGGCCACAGAGATGATTGCAGGGTTGAAGCAAACCTCACCTACGAGGACAAGCTGAGGGAGCTGGGCGTTTTCAGCCTGGAGAAAAGAAGGCTGCAGAGTGACCTCATTGCAGCGTTTCAGTACCTAAAGGGAGTCTACAAACATGAAAGTGTAGATAACAGCAAGACAAGGGGAAATGGTTTTAAGTTGAGGGAGGGAAGATTTAGGTCGGATGTCAGGAGGAAGTTCTTCACTGTGAGAGTGGTGAGGTGCTGGAACAGGCTGCCCAGAGAGGCTGTGGATGCCCCATCCCTGGAGGTGTTCATGGCCAGGTTGGATGGGGCCCTGGGCAGCCTGGTCTGGTATTAAATGGGGAGGTTGGTGGCCCTGCATGTGGCGGAGGGGTTGGAGTTTGATCCTTGAGATCTCTTCCAACCTAGGCCATTCTGTGATTCTGTACTGGGTGGAATAGCGATGCACTCTCTAACTGTCTGAAATCTTACTGGGCTGCTTGTCCTGAAGGTGTGATAGTGTCTTGATTTATAGGAATACCGTTATAAGGGTTTAGAATTACTCATGCAAGCAGTTGGAATACAATGGCTTTTTCATAACTTAAAATAGAACTGCTGAAGCAGTTCTGAATTCTCTTGAATGCTGTCCTAGTTCACAGCACTTCAAGAGGATATGAATTGGAGCTCTTACATTGTACATCTGAAACTTTATCTTCTATATAAAAAAAAAATCCTTTTGCAAATGGGCTGGAAATCTGTGTAGCTCTCAGTGGTGTTCTAACATGAAATACATCCTGTATGTTTGATTGCTTAACAAAATCATACCGTGCGTGCAGTTACTTCATGGCTCTCTTAGCACTAGGCACTGGCAATTTGTCATGCTTGATGAGATAGGACTCTAAAAGGGGAAAACGGGCAGCCTGGTCTGGTGGTTGGCAGCCCAGCACGTAGCAGGGGGATTAAAACTTGATAATCATTGTGGTCTTTTTCAACCCAGGGCATTCTATGTTTCCATGAATACTATGAAGCTTCGTTTGGAATGTCTCTGCAGTTCTTATGCTTGAAGTACTTCTGTGAGAAGGACTGAGGTTCAGCTTCTAGGTAGCTATTTGTAACAGCACGCACCGCTTTTAAGTTCTTGTTTTTTACAACTTTCTTACAGAGAAATAGATGTATGATTTTCAGTTTACAAGTATTAGACACATCTGCATATCTTAGTACAACTTCTGTCCCATACTGTTTCCAGGAAGCCAGCAGCTGCCAGAAAGTAGGGGGTTGCTGAGCTGAATTGTATCTTTACCTTCCTGTTACGAGATCCCCGTGTTAGCAGGGATCTGTTTTGGCATGTGCATTTTTAGAATATTCCACTGATGGTAAGGGAAAGGTGCTTTTAAGCTGCGCTGTATTTTTAGAAAGATGTGTTTGTGGTAAGCAGTTATAGGGTAGGTAGTTATAAGTAGGTAGTTATAGGGTGTACCAGTTCTGATGTCTGTGTGCTTCATCTCTTTGCACTCGGACTGGGGTCAGTGGTTCAGGTGGAGTGGTGTAACGAAGAAAGCCATTCATAAGTGTGTTTCTTGGCATGGAGAAGGCAGAGTGTGTTTTCTAGAGTAAAATCAGAGCTCATTATGTTTTAGGAAAGTGAAAACTGCACTGAAGTATTTGATAGCACTGAATCACCCGGCCCGTGCTTAGCAGTAACAATGGGTCACTCACAGTAAAGGATCAGGCCATCTCAGAAATCTTGATGTGATGTTACAGGTGCTGAGTATTTGCCAAGAACTTGGCCTCTCTTTTTTTAAGGAATCATAAAAAAAAAAATGTTTGCTTCTCGCTGGATCACTGAAACATTGGAAGCGACTGTATATCCACTTTGTAATGTTTAAGAGGTAAAGATCTAAAGCGAGAACGATGCTGAAGCCAAGACGCCTTTTGAGGCTAAATTCAATGGAAGTGTGAATTGAAATTTCTTGTGCATCATTGAAATGGTTGCTTCAGGTTTGTCTGCTGAAGATAGGTTGGTGTAGAGATGGCAGAACAGTTATGCTGTGTAGTTGTGACTGTAGATGAACAGGCAAAATACCTCAGTTAACCAGAGGCAGATCGATTCAACTGATAAAACTGTACTAATGCAGCTGTATACCTGCTGTCGCTGACTGACACAGATCTGTTGCTGGAGCAATGGTGAGTCAGTCAGACACCATGGGAAAACATTTAAGGAAGGGCAAAATGCTGCATGGTAGTTGTGAGAGAAAGGAATGAGGCAAGAGGCAGAAGTAAGAGTGTGAAATGGCCCAGTAAACAGCAGTGGCAGTGAAGAAGGAGTGAGAGGAGTTGTTCTATCTGCCAGAGCAAAGACTGCCCTGCAGCGTGTGGAGGAGGAGAGCCTGGTGGAGCTGTGGCTGTGTTCTGGCATCTGATGGAGAAAACCAGCCCCAAGCACCACTACAGCCTGTGAAGGATCCTACACTGGAGCTGATGGATGTTTCCTGAAGAAGCTGCAGCCTGTGGAGAGCTGTGCAGAAGCAGATTGATCCTGAAGGCTGCTGTCCATGGGAAGAACCTAGCCAAGAACAGGAAAAAGCGTGAGGAAGGAGCAACAGAGAGGAATTGCCTCAGGCTGATCACAGCCCTTCTCCCTGTGCTGCTGGTGGAGGGGAGCTGTAGGAGCTGGAAGTGAAGGAGTGAAGTTGAGCCTTAGAAGGGGATGTGGGGAAGATATCTGGTTTTTTTTCTTCTCATAGTTTCTCGCCATTCTACTCTATTTTTCATTGGCAATAAATTAATTTTCTCTAAGTCTGGTTTACCTGCTATAGTACTTGGGTAAGTCACCTTCCTGTCCTTATTGGACCCACAAGCTTTTCATATCTTACTAATCAGAGCTTTCTGCAATAGTAGTAGAATGAGAACATGGAGAGAAGTCAGTGGGTGAGTAGCAATTTTGGGCAGGTGGCTGTTTTCAAGACTGCTTTCTTGAGTTCTGCTTACTGCTTTCCGGTGCCTGTTCCCTTATTTCAAAGCCCTGATGAACTGAAATTGTGTATAGTGCATCCATGGTGGTTGTGCTGGCCATTGGGGAACCTATCATGGTTGAACCTGATGTGAAACTGCTATAACAAAATGAGGTATGCGCATATCAGAGCTCAAAGGCTTGTTTTCCTTTGTTTGCTGAAGTAATTAGGGCATTTAACATTAACTTCTGTAGCTAACTTTTAGCATTCAGATATTTTCAGTTATGGGAAGCTAAACTAGCAGATGTTTTTTGACACTGTGATCTTTGTTCCATTTTAGAGTGGGAATGTTTGAGTTGATGTAATCATAAATTTCACGTTTTCTGTTTTCTTCTGTATGTGTTTTCCTGACTATCAAGAGTAAGAGAATACCATGAGTAAAATGAAATGCAGGTATTAGAAGCCTGTGTTTGGATATGCTATGTTTACTGCTAGAAGCATCCCTTTCGCAGACTAGATTTCAGGCATAACACTAATGTGAGGAAGTTCATGGTCAGTTACCATTCACTGTATCGTTTTGGTCCTCCCTTGTTTGTCATCATTTGTATATAATCATCCTCCTAAAGTAACTGTTCTATTTAACAAAAAGCTGCTTTCTGACCTTCGTCATGGGAAGGCTTGTCGGAGGATCACAGAAGAAAAGTGTTGGAAATACTGCTTGCCTCCTCACCTGGCAAGCCCTGCATCTGTGTGAGTCAGTGGTGGTGCGATGTAAGTACAGCTTGGGGATTAGCTCTACACTCTGCTCTGTGGAGCAGAGAGGAAGGTGAGGCTGTAACAGCTGATAGTATTACTATATTACTTCAGTATTACTGTACTGCAATACTGAAGGTATTTTTTCCCACTGTACTAGGTGATTGAAACAAAGTTTTCCCAAAAATTCTGATATAGTGCTGATAATAAGTATTTGTGGCATAGAGAAGGCTTATTGGCAAGGCTGTCAGACATGTACTTGATTGGAACAGGGTTGCACAAAGAGTGCATACAGGTTTGGATTACATTTGTCCTTTCGCTCCCCACCTTGAATGCAATCAATCCCAACTGTGTACCCAGTGTGACTTCAGCTTCATCCGTGTGCTCTCTGAGTATGAGAAAGTCACACCCTCACACAGGTGCAACTCCACTGAAGGAAGGGTTTGCCTGCTTGATGTATGGCTGCTGGGGAGCCCAGTGGCAGGACTTGTCCCAGCAACAGTGGGGCAAAGCATCGCTTGGCCAACAGCTCTAGTGCTGTGATGGTGAAGAGATGCCACTGTCACTTTTGTCCTGTTGACTCTGCTGGAAGAACAGGCATACCCTGTCCTGTTACGCTCATCTCCATGGGTATAATCAAAAGGACAGGCAGCTTGATCTATCCAAGAAAAATGGCATCTCCTACTCCAAAAATCTCCAAATAAAACAGGTACCAGAAAGGCTCTGATAGAAATCATGGTGTGCTTTTAGGAGCAATGCCTGAGCTGTAGTTTTTAATAGGATTGTTTATTATAGTAGTTATTTATATTGCAGCACTGCTCCTGGCCTGCTGCTCGGTTCAGATGTGCCTGAGTACCCCCCATATTGCTCTGCCATGCCTTGGGGCCAGCAGAGAGGCTGGCTGCCTTTCCTTCCTGACATGTGAGCGGAGGGAGGGGCCTGTGGGACCTCTGTACAGCCAGGGACAAGCTGGATGTGTTGGCTTTTTGTTTTTTTAAGTCATTCTGAGACTTTTGAGTTCACTCTTTCCTGCAGCATGTGAAAGGTAACAGAGCTCTCTTTATGGTGTGGGGTTTCCTGGCTGGAAAGCGCCTGCCGCTTGCTCAGGGCTCTCCATACTTCTAGCAGTGACTGCTCTACAGGACGAGAGATGTGGCAGCAGCTGCAACAGTGAGTGTTTAATGTGCTTGCTTCCTTTGGCTTGAAGTCCTGGAAAGTGGAAAACTGCGGAATAGGTGTTCGACTGAGGGCTGTGTGTGCAGTGGGGAAAACTAGCCCGTGACTTTACCATTATTCAGAGCTGTCAGTGCTTCCTCAGTAAGAAGAGGAATAGGATTAAACAAGTACTGTATAAAAGAGGTGTTTAAAAATCTATTAGCTTAAAGCCAAACTGAAAAGCTCAACTGCTAAAATGAGAGAGATGCCAGCGTAAGGAGAGGTTTTATGCTCTTAAGAGCATGAGGACTTGATCTGTTTTGCACAGAGAAGCTGATGCTGTGTGCTGTACAGTGATTTTTCTAGCTTGTCAGCTGTAGAGGATTTAATTACTTCTCAGCAGACTTGGGTAAGAAGGTTGCTCTGCTTACCCACTGCTGCTTTTAATTTTGGCATTAGGATGATTGTGGATATAGTTATTTGCTTCGTGTCTGACCTTTTTAATTGTTCAATCCTTGCTTTTTGGAATCCTGCCTGGTACCGGATAACTCTGTTATTAGTTTAATTTCTTTTTTCAGTGGGCTTTGAAATGGGCGTAATCCTGAATGCTTTTTAACCTTGTGTCTTGCAGTGCTGTGCACCTGTAGTCAGCTGTAATGCTCTCAGGCTAAGTTTGGTTCTGCTTCACTGAAAGATGTTATTTCAGAGGAGGAGAGTTGCACTTCAGATTTTTGTGAAAGTGTTTGGGTTCCTTTAATGAAGGTCAGAGGTAGCTTTTTTTTTTATTAAGGCTGTCCCATTAGCAATGACTTGATGGCTGTGTTACAGCTTTGGGCCTTCATACCACTTCTCTGCACATGGTCTTTTAACACTGGACTAACTCTTTCTTACAAGAACCACACCTTGAGTGTTCTCAAGGCTGGATTAGCTGCTGTACTCAGCAACCCAGGCACACCAGTCTATCAGGTTTGCTGGTGAAAGATTGCTTTTTCAAAGCAAGCACTGTTTTACTAAGGACAACAAAACATGAAAAGCCCGTAGTGCAAAGTAGTAAAACAATATACGTTAGAGAGGCAGCGGTTAAATTTTACTTACATGAAAGACCTGGCCTGAAAGACAATGTTTTATTACCCAACTTTTTGCTTGTCCTTTTATTTTAATTTAAGGTCCAGTGGGTGTCATAAAAATGCCGGCTCTTTGCTGTGTTTCTCAGTCACCTTCCTTCTTGTGGATAGAGTTCTCTGCCAGTAAGCTCAGACATGTCTGTCTGCACCACTCTTGTGTCTCAATGAAAAAATGAACCCAAAACCTAGGTTAAAAGGCATCAGTTATTCTTGAAGTAGTAATGTAAGGAAGGGTGGCTAACTGATTCACAGGTGGCTTTTCTGTATAAAATACAGTATCTCCATGCTTGCCACTCTTTGAAATGAGTGTGATGTTCTCCACAGGAAACATCAGAATATCAACTTGTAAGTTTATGAAACAGGAATTGTTCCCTGTTGTGATGAGCTGAAGCTAATTGTTTGTAATTGTACGTGCACATGTGTGCCACTGCCAGAAGTGCTCGAGTGTATTTTAAGCAAGAGCAACGACCAATTGATGCCATAGAGCACAGTAAGATGTGATTTTAGTTATCATACAGAGTAACTTACATTGCCAGTAGTATATTTTGGATGTCGGTTAGGTATTGTGAATTTTAATGATGTCTGCCTGTGAAGGAAATTCATACAGCTGACAAAGAAAATTGGTATGTGTGAGCTTCCACCTAGCTGAATGGTAGAGGAGGAGGGTAGAAATAAGCTTGGCGCATTACAGTTTGGGGTTTATTTTCATGATTTGCCATCTACATGCTATTCCTGGTATTGAAAAGAGTGAGGCTTCGGCAGAGTGTTCTGGCTGATGCTGCTGATTGCCTCCTGATATTGTCTTTCCTTCTATCTTGATATTTTTTTCCATAATCTTTAATTGTCTTTTTTAGTCTATCTGTTGGTAGAGTCACTTCTGCTTGTTAATTTCAGTATCTGATCTTGTACCCTTTTGAGCTCACGTTGGTCTAGAACGCGTTTGGGTTGGTCATGGGAGGAGAAAATCTCCCTTGCAGACACAGCTTTATGGGGTGATACTTTTGATTTGTGGAAGTTACTGCCGTGGGAGTGTTCCAGCTGCTAAATGGTGCATTGGAAAAGTGGGTCTGTGAAAGGCAGTAAATCAGCATTACTCCCTGGAAACTTGCAGGTAGTGTTGAGATGAGCAAGATACAAAGTTTGAGTCAATAACCTGTTGGTTATGGAGTTCAGCATGCACTGTTGTCAGGTCAGTCATACTGCTTATCACTGATTTCCCACGTATTTAAGTGCAAGCCACCAATGACGTGGGCAGTCTTCCTTTTATTTGCACACCTGTTTTTTCGGTGGTGGCACACAATGGGACAGGACAGCAGGGTAAGGAGCTGTTACTTCCTCAGTCACTGCAGTGGCGCAGATTGAAATGACCAAGCTGAAATCAGAATGAAGCTGTGGTTCAGAATCACTTGTGCCATGCAGCAGCCTTTCTCTGGTGTGACAGCTAATGAAAGCTAATGAGGAGATGATGATTGGGTGAAAGAAATGCAGTGGTGTTTCAGTGAGTAGTATTTGAAAACAAATATTACTGTTTTTCTGCTCATTAGTCAAGCTTGAAACTGGAATTACTTAACGTGTATGATACAGTATTTCTGCTGTCATCTCTCAGGGCTTCATGGCTGCAGCTTATTTTACTATAGCGCATATGCCAGCAAGGCTTAGTAAGATATAGGAAGTAAATCTCATTACTGAAATAAGTTCTTTGCAAGTCTCAGCATCTTTGTCTTCCATTCCTTTCCTGTAGTTTTCCTGTTACTTTCATTCCAGTCAGCTGTTCCTTTCCTATCTCATACTTTTTCCCTGTGGTATTTGATACATAGTAGCTCTATCTGCAGCTCATTCGCTGGTTAGGGAGTATTTTCCCGAATCTCTGTTAAATAAATTGATTGAATTGAGGCTCTTATGGAGCTTTTTCATCCACGTTCTGTTTGAGCCCTTATCAAACGTTGTTTTTTTTTCTTAATTGTAAAGCAGCAACCGCTTTCTTACTGATTTTCCAGGCTGAAATGGAATATCGTGCTTGCTGGAAAATGAACACTCTTTTCTTGAGATGGGATGGGGTGCTGTATAATCAATGGATATTAAGATGTTATAATCACAAAAAGAACAAGAGAGTTAGGCAAAGTAGACTAAGATAATAGGAGAGAATAAATGGAAGGCTTACCCATATGCTAAGCTTACCTACAAAAAAAACACCAGAAGGGGGGATCTCCAGACAAGATCCTTCCCCACTGGTAGCCAGCTCTTAAATAGGTCTAGGAGGGGTGAAGCCAGGCTCCATCCCTTCCTGCAGCACAGGAGAATTGCCTTCACCTGTGCTCCTGTGGCTGCCTCACTGCTCGCCTCAGGTGATCAATCAGAGCTTCAGGCCATGACTCAGCAGCTCCCATACAGGTACTCCCAAAATGCTACCTCTGAGCTTTGTAGGGGCAGAAGAAAAACAGTCAGACCTCCAGATCTACCACAATGTTTGCTTTCAAGAGCCAATACTTGCATGTTTCTGGCAATGTGATTATAGTAATCTTAGTACAGGGAAGGGTCTGTTTTAGTCTTTGGCTTTCAAATATTCTGAACTATCAGGGCAGAATAAGCACTGTGTATTTAAAGGGTGCTTCAGGATCATTGCAGACACACGCATTGGATTTGCAACAGCGGTGCTGCCCCTCAGAATGTGTTGTACCCTGTGCCATAGATAGCAAAAGCACTGGGCAGGTACCAGAAGGAGAGGTGGGCTGCTGGGTGGGTTGGTGCTGAGCAACTCCTGTGTACTCTGTCAGGGTGTTATCTGGAGCGTGTTGTCAGCATGCTGCAGAATGTGATGGGCTTCCTTTGAGGCTTTTGTTGTGATTCTGAGTTACAACCAGCATTTTGTACCTGTGTTTTTAATACTGGGCTGTATTATGGCTGAATGCTGCTTGCCCCAGGGCTGTGGTGAAAGGAAGATTGATAGTTTGCTGGAACACAGTATGTTGGGGTAAGTATGTGCAGGACCTGTGCTAAGTAATTCTGTAGTAAGGATTCACTGCATCGTACGTTCTGCATCAGAGCTGTTCATAGAGAAAGAAGGTTTGCCGTTAAGTATCTTGCTTCCTGGGCACTGTGCTGTCTGTCCGTTCCCAGCAAACTGAGATGCTCAGGCAGTGCGTAGTGCAATTCATCTCATCAGCCCCAGGTTTGGCTCCCATGTACATCCTGGACATAGGGTTTGAATTTTGGGCGCTCCCATGCAGGCTTGGCGGTTGGACTTGATGATCCTTGTGGGTCCCTTCCAACTTGGGATGCGCTGGGGTTCTGTAATCTGTGCAGATGAGCAAACTCTTCCAGAAAATATCAGAGTTAAACTAGTAGGAATGTAGTATTACTGTATTCCTTCTGCCTGTGGCACCTCTCCAGAGGTTCTTATGTATTCTGAGAGCTAGTGCAAGATAACCTTGTTTTTTTGTGCTACTGTAGTGATGCAGCCTGATTCAGGTGCTTTGGCTTTCATCAGTGCCTTTGCTTTGTTTCTCCTCAGTCCTTGTTCTTTTTAGACATGGCAGTTTCCTCGTGCTTTCCGTATCAAGGTGCTCTTTTACTAAAATTTCATTCTTTCTCTGCTGTGTTCCACTGGGCATAAGTATTAGCACTGTAACTTTATAGCATGATGGCAATGAAAGCCTGTATGAAAACCAAGTTCTTAAAAAGGTGAGAAAGCAGAATAAAGGATTAGATCCTCATAAATCAAACACTGAAAAACCAAACCTTTCCCTTGAAAAGCAGGAGGATTTCATTGTCTGGTTGCTTTCTTATTATAGGATGGCTGGGGTTGGAAGGAACCTTAAAGCCCATCCATATCTACCTCCTGCTGTTGGCAGGGCTGCCCCCACCAGCTCAGGCTGCCCAGGGCCCCATCCAGCCTGGCCTTGAATGTCTCCAGGGCTGGGGCGCCCAACAGCTCTCTGGGCAGCTGTGCCAGTACCACACTGCTCTCTGAGTAAAGAGATTCCTCCTAACATCTCACCTAAATCTGCCTTTTGGTTTAAAACCCTTCCCTCTTGTCCTATCACTACTAAAGGAGAAGGACGTACGTGATAAATTCTGGATGAAGATGCAGAAAGAAGGTGATACTGTCAGGCAGCAGATATGGAGGAAGGTTTTTTGGTGCTGATGAAGTATTTTATTTTTCATGCTGCGTTGTGTATGGCAGTATAACACAGATGATATCTCTGAAGAATTTAACTGTTTTATTCCAAAAGAGAGTGATCTTGTGTTTATTATTTTGGTGGTGGAGGATAGCTTTATTCATAACCAGCAGCATCCCCTGCCTTGCAGCTGCTGTTAGTTTTGGTAAAAATAGAATAAGGCCTGTGTATTGCCAAGAACTGCACGCAGACATAACATGGGGTAGCTGTAGCACTTTCTGATCTTAAAATAACAAACACACACCAACAATAAAAACCAGACAGAGTGGGAGCGGGGAACAGGGCAGAAGAGTGATTTATCTGAAGTCATGCAGCTGGTTGTGGCTGAGCTTGGACCAAAGCTCAGTTTTTAATCACTTTGTACATAGTAGCTGTTCCTTCCATATTTTGGTGCTGTCATATTTGGCTTGTATTTCTGATATCATTCCCTATCTTGACATAAGGTCTTTTCATGAAGTTCAAAGGTACAGCAATGGAGGGCATAGAAATTAACACTCCTCTTCCTTTTTTCTTCTCTTTGGTTCAGGTTAAGTCATGTTTTCTGATACTCAAAGAACAATCAGCACTGCAATTCCATGAATCGCAGAACCACAAGAAGTGCAGCTGCCCTCCCTACTTCCAGTTTCCCTTCTTTACTGTAACCTTCCTGGGACCTTTGGCTTCTTCCCTACTGAGTGCACAGTGGGGGGACCCACTGTGGGATTTGGGGGAGGAAACATTTTGCTGATCGGGGGAGCAATGGCCTTAAGCTTGTATGTATTTCCCTTCTTCAATAAGTTCAGAGTGCTCCTGCTTGTCACTTTGTGTTTGCTGGTGCTATGGGCTGTGTTCAGTTGCTTTGTGGATTCTGGACAGACTATTCCTAAACTCAAAAGTGTGGGGAAGCATTTTGGAAAAATCATCAGCCTGGAGGAGGAAGAGGACAGTCAGAAGGAAGAAAAGATGAAGTTAACTGAAGGAGTTCCTGCAACAAAGCCACCTCAGGGTCCCTGTCCAGCTCTGTCTCCATATCTGCGTAAGTGATGTGGATTTCCTCTCCCTTCTAAAAAGTTACATCCTCTTTGGTATTGTCTGCTTGTTTTCCTATTAGCTGTTTGACAGCTAAAACAGCCAGTAAGCAGCTGTTTAACAACATGCTTTTCTGTGGAACAAATACAACCATACCGGTTACAGTAAGTGCTTTTGGGTGGGTGGCTCATGGCATTGAGTGACTGTGCTGTGTCTGGCTGGGCTGGCAGCTGCTATGGTGCTGAGCATTGCATTTGCAGCTAGAATGGCACTGAAAACAGTTCTGGCTACTGCTGAGCAGCGCCAAGGCAACCTGGTCTATTATTAAATGGGGAGGTTGGTGGCCCTGCCTGTGGCAGGGGGTTGGAGATTTGTAATCTTTGAGGTCCCTTCCAATCTGGGCCATTCTTTGATTCTTTGAAGGCTTGCTGTCTTGCATCCCTTTTCCTACAAAAACCAGCAGGCCAAGGGTGGGTGAGACCCTGGGAGGGGACACAGCCAGCAAGGATATATCATGCAGCTGAGATTAAGAAGTGTGGAGATGTACAGGGCTTTGCTCTTTGCTGTGGAAGAATGTCAGAATATAGCTTTGAGAAAGCTTGACCAAATAGGCACTTCTAGGCCGAAGGGATTGGAAACCCAGCAGTGTGAGCCATGTTAATGCTGATAACTCACAGCACTCCAGCCCTTTTGTGCACTGATAGTATTTATCTCTGTCATCACCTGGCATGTGTTAGGAGCAAACCTTTCTATCCTATTGCTCTAATGATAAGATGAAGGGGAGGATGTTCCTGCTTGCAAGTTAGATTTGATATTCTCTGGAGCGATGCTGAGAGAGTACAAAGACAATGGATGATGCTTTAAAAATATTGCAATGATCTGATATCTGCATATTAGGTATTATCTGGGCTGCTGAGCAGCTATTTAAAAGTGTGTGGACAGTTCTCTTCACTGCTTACATCTGCAGAACTGGCGTGGAGCTTACCTACTTCCTTCGCTGCTTTGCTGAGTCTGGAGGGGCTCCTTACAAGAGAAGCGATGATAATTTAATTTGCTTACAGAGAGCCTTTGCACGTTTTCTTATATATTTGTAATAGTATGCCTGTGATACTTTTGTTCATGCTTTAAGCAGAGATGACTTCTCACCAGCAGTCCTGTGTCTCTTTCCACTTTGCTCTTCTCCTCTGCTTTGTCCTGGTGGCTGTGTTTGGCCAATTCTCCTGCAGCAGGATGAAATCTGTCTTGGTGTTTATGCATGTTTTTTAATCACTACTGTCATCAGTTTAACTAAACGCTCAGTACAGTCTCGTTCTGCTGCCCATATAATGGTTTTCTTGTACTATCTTTCTCTTGGACAGCCAGGGAAACTGTGACTTAAATCTGGGTTTCTTATGCTGTTTATAGAGTATAGAGACTGGTCTATAGCCACAACCAGAAACAAATTAGGAAAGCTTATTGTACTTTTCCTACAGGAGGTACCAGCAAACTGACCTTCAGTCCATCTCTCACACTAGAAGAAGTACAAAAGGAGAACCCTCAGGTGGCCAAGGGCCGCTATCACCCTGCAGAGTGTTCAGCATTGCAGCGTGTGGCCATCCTCATCCCGCACCGCAAGCGTGAGAGGCATCTGCTCTACCTCCTGGAGCACCTGCACCCATTCCTGCAGAGGCAGCAGCTGGATTATGGCATCTACGTTATCCACCAGGTGGGAAGGGTGCCTCTACTCAGTGATGCTTAGAGCTGTGTGCTGCCACCTCCACCATCTAGCACCGCTCCTGAGGCTGCTTGGCATGCTTCTGCTGGTTGGCGGACACAGTGGCAGCTTGCAGCCATTGCTTGTAGCACTACAGAATCTCAGCTGCTGTTAGAAAAGCAGGGAAATATTAAGAAGCAATGTCCAGCTAATGTTCATTTCTCTAAGTCTAAGCTTACTGTTTCAGAGTTAGTGTTTCAAGGTAAGCATCTTGCAACTGTCATGCCTGCAGCTAGGCTGATGTGCTTTCTGTCTTTAAACCTGGAGCTGTTCATATCTAGCTCTTCTCTCCCATCTGCTTACTGGTTGTCATGCTTAGCAAGCTGCACATGTTGTGCAGTTGTACTTCTGTTTCAAACTAAACACACCAATTACTCCTTATATGTGCTTTGCTTGTGGGAAGAAACAGTCATGGCAGAGTGTTCAGTTTCTGAAAGACTTTCTAATTTCCTATTTAGTATTCTTTTAAGCTCTACAGAGTCGGTGGCTAAAATCTGAGCTTACAGACTTGTGCCAAGTTGACTTTCGTTTACGTGCTTATGTTCTCATCACATTAGCTAAAAGCAATACAGGTTTCTCTTTTGTAATGTGTTGTCATCTTGATTTCTTTTTAATTGTGTTTAATATCTACTTTGATTCTAAACAGATTTTGTAGGCAGCAGGAAACAAAAGAAGGGGGAGGGATAAACTAATATAGTTCCCCTTCTTCTCTCCTTAAAGAGGATGGACTCAAGTCCATTCTAGGTGAAAGCTTATGTTTTTGCTCGATGGTGTGGCAGGATCTACTTTCAGTAGGAATGTACTATTCTATTCCTTCATTATTTACAGTAGCTGCCTGTAGAGTGGAAAAGTGAGGTTTTTTTCTGCATTAGTGCATACTGCAGTTGTACCAAGAGTGGCTGCAGTTCACAAGCAGTATGGAAAACAATTAGGAGAATGGGCATACTTTCTTCATTTATTGAAATTGTAGGATCATAGCATATCCTGAGTTGGAAGGGACCTATAAGGATCATCAAGTTCAACTCCTGAATCACTTCAGCAATTAGCAAGGCTGGGTGGGGAGACGTTAAGCTGCATGAGGATGCTGTGCCTGTCCTGGAGCAGGCATGCAGTAATGCCTCAAGTGTCCTCCTGGGTCATTGCTTGGTGGCACGTGTCACTTATCATACAGTCCTACAGATGTCCTTCCACACACAGCCTATTGGCCAGCAGCTCAGGAGGCCTCATGATCCTCCGGCTTCGTGCCAGAGCCTTGCTCCCCTTGAACCCACCACCAGGCAAGCAGCATACATGAGGTGAAGGCAGACTGTTATGTTAGCAGAAAGTAATAGAAAAGCCTGAAGGTTTTGTCTGATGGGAGCAGCAATGTTGAGTCTAGATTTACTCTATCAGAGCTTTACTTGGATGAGTGTTATCTCTTGCTTGTCTTTCACTGTGGGTAGGCACGCCCCAGTGCTGGAAGGTGAGTCTAGCCAAAACATTCCTATGGCACATCTTTTTTACCCTCTGTGATGTCTGTAGTTGCTTTACACATCTTGTGGAAAGGAAACAGATAAAACCAGGATTTAACTACGAAAATAAACAGAGCTTGCTTTGGAGAAAGATTAAGTAATGGTCCTTTTATATTTATCTCCAAATGTTACTTGTAACATTTCAGAAATCATATTTCGCTGTACAAACGTCCATATGTGAAGGAGCATGGTACTGAAAATAATGTGAGTTTGTAATCTCTAAAGTGTGAGTGATACCTTTTCCAAAGTAAGTTTGTCACTTAATCAGAATTCTTCTCTTGAAACTACGTAGGAGAACGTAGCAGACAAGAGTAGACTTTGCTACGTGTTTAGCATATGGTCAGCACTGAAATGGCCCCTCCTGGAAGACTGTCTCACTGTTGTTTGACTACCTTTATGCAGGAGGGGGCTGTGGTGGCTGACTGTGCTGGTGACTGAGACACAGCCAACCAGTGGTAGATGTTGCTGCTGAACTAGTCTGCATTTGATGCACAAGTGAAGTTCTCTGTATGTACTATACCAGTAACCTGAATTGTTCTGTTGCTTGCTCAGTAATCTATGATTCCATTATCAGGAGAAAATGTTCTGATAGATTTCTTTTTACTTTTCTGCACTTGAAACTACTCAGGACTTTGACATCATAGATTTTTGGATTAATTGCATCTTTGAGAGTACATTTTTTTTCCTTGACTCAGAATGGAGGCAACTGATGATCCCCCCTCTAAATTTCTCAGCACGGGCTGTATTTCCCAAAGTGGATGCTAGGGTGAGCCATAAAGTTCATAATTTACCTTTGTGCAAGGAGAAAATGGCTGTTGGTAATGGTGAGCAAATTACTTTTGCAGCAAAGTGTTACTAGAATGTTAAAACACACTTTATATGCAACTGCTTTTCCCTGCAACTAACCTTCCCTCAGCTTGGGGAGGCCAGCTTCTATTTTCAGTGGAACCTCCTTCTGTCCAGATGGCTTCTAGCAAAGGAACCCTGTCTCTCAAAAGTTAGTTTTTTAGTTTTCTAAGAATGCATCAAGTTGCCAATGATAGAGAATGACCTCTTGCTTTCTAGGAGTGCATAGCTGGGCCTTTTGATTCTGAGTGCCAACTGAGAGTCGCAGAATCATTAAGGTTAGAGAAAAATCTAAGAAAGAGAAAAATCTTAGAGAAAAATCTAAGGTCACCTAGTCCAACCATCAGCCCATCCCCACCATGCCTGCTAAACTGTGTCCCACAGTGCCACATCTATGTGTTTGTTGATTATCTCCAGGGATAATCCATCACTTCTCTGAGCAACCTGTTCCAATGCCTCACCAACGTTTCAGAGGCGACTTAACACCGAGTCCTCAGGTGTATGAAGTGTTCTACAGACAGATTAGTCTGTACAGTCTAGAAAAAAGTATATAGCCATATAAGCAGCCCTGTTGTTTCAGAATCAGTGGGGTCGTGGTAAGCTTACAAAACTGCCAGGTAAATATATGAATGTATTTATCTAAAAGGTGGAAAATGATATTTTTGAAAAGTGAAGATGCACTGCTTTGCTGAAGATTAGTAAAAGTGAAGTGAAGCTCTGTGCTAGGAGGAACCCCTGTGTGGCCTAATAATTAGGTTATAGGCTGGAGTTTAACCAAAAAAAAAAAAAAAAAAAAAAGGAAGAGACCTGCATTTTATTTCCCACTCTGCCACCTACTGTTAGCTTAAGGAAATACAGAACTACTTAGAACTTAAGCACTGCTATTATCTAAACTAAGGGGGCAAGCATGAATCACCTGTGTTGAGTGCTCTGACATCTATAAACAAGTAACTATAGGAATAATTTTTTTTAGCTTCCAAAAACACAGTCGCATGGATTGTTTACAGGTACCTGTTACGTAGTTTGATGGAGTAACAGGGCAGGAGCAGCAATAGCAGTGGGATTGCATTGTGCAACACGCATACTTCTGGTGGCTGTAGACTTTCCTGTCCCTACCCACGTAGAGACTTTGGCTCTGGTGCTGTACCTAATGTAATAGAGTTGTTCTTTGTACAGTTATTGACCCAAAGACTGTGGAGCACAAATGTGCTTGTCAACTCTGTGATTAGAAGAAAAGCCTGGGAACAGTTCTAGTTAACACATTTTCAGAGTTTTTTCTGTTCGTCTCCGCAGGCTGGCAGCACCACATTTAATCGAGCAAAACTGCTGAATGTGGGATACTTAGAAGCTCTAAAAGAAGAGAACTGGGACTGTTTCATTTTCCATGATGTGGATCTGGTGCCAGAGAACGACTTCAATATTTACATGTGTGACAGACAACCAAAGCACCTTGTAGTTGGCCGGAACAGTACTGGATACAGGTAAGAAACCATGAAAAGAACGATCTGAAAGTGCCAGGTTTCTGATAATGTCCCTCTTCATGTCAAGCTGTGTACTTGAGTGCTTCCTTCCATCTGACACCATGTTTCTGATGGTAATGCTCCACCTCTCTGGAGCACTTTCTAACAGAAGATCTTCACGCAGATATCTTTGAAGTTGGCCCTGTGATCACCCGTAAGAATGGTCATTCTGGTTTCCGGGGGTGTTGTGAGAGGAAAGCAACATACCACAGACCTTATGCCTAAGCTAGAAATCGCATTCTCTTGGTTCTTGTGGCTTGACAGTATGATCTTAGGGTTGTGCTAATAAAAATTGCTGCTTACCTTTTGTTGTTGGAGAGGTAACTTCTGATACTGAGATCTGCACCAGCGTGAGAATCTACTGAGCAATAGGGGTGTCATTTAATTAGCTGCCTGTACAGCATCTAATACAGCATTGTTCTGGTTTTAAATTGACCTCTTAAATGTTACTGTGATGTAAATAATTAAAAACAAAAAGTCAAGTTCAGTTCACCTTAGAGGAAAAAAGGCTCCTGATTGTGGTGAATTTAATGACTAGAGTGGTTTCATTCATTTAATGGGCTTCTTTCAAGATTCAACCTCTTGTGTTATGTCAGTCTAAATATTAATTAGATGTGGGTTTTACAAAAGCTGATTGCAAGCGCTTTGAAGTAAAGGTCTGCTTCACCTCTGGGTTTCCTTTACTAAATGCATGAGAAAGGAGAACTTGTACATTCTCTCTCTACAGAATAATACTCGCTTTCCAGTTGGATGTCAGTCACTAGTGGTGTATGTACCCTGAGGCCAATATGGGGAATGATACTGCTTCATGTCTTCATCGTTGGCCTGGACACTGGGGCAAAAAGCACCCTCAGCAAGTTCAAAGCTTGGAGGGGTAGTCGGTACACCGCAGGAATCTCAAGTTCAGCAAAGGGGAGTGTGAAGTCCTGCACCCGAGGAGGAAGCACATGCTGGAGACTGGAAAGCAGCTTTGTGCCCACCAATACCTCCTCTTAGGTCCATTTCTGCAGAGTTGAACATCAGCCAGCACTGTGCCCTTGTGGCAATGACAGCAGATAGCTCTGTGGGCTGTTAAGGAGGGGGTATCCTCTGCAGACTGAGGCGGCAGTCATTGCCCTCTATTCAACGCTGTGAGAAGATACTGCAGTGTTCTAACTAGCTCTGTGCTCCCTGGTATAAGAAAGATTGGACTACAAGAGTGAGACCAGAGAAGGGCCACGAAGAAAATTAAGGAACTGGAGCATCTGACAGGTAGAGATACAGAGTTGGTGCTGTGGCAGCTCAAGAGAGATCCTGCCAGTGTATTTAAACATTTGGTGGTAGGTGGAGCCAGACTCTTCTTAGCAAAAGGCAAGAGATGATGGATGCAAACTCAAATACAGGAAATTTAAATGGAAGACAAAGCATTTTTACTTTGGAAGGTGATCAGATGCTGGAACCAGCCACCCAGAGTGGTTGTGGTGTCTCTGTTCCTGCAGATGCTCAAAACCCAAGTGGATGAGGTTCTCAGCAACTTACCCTGTAGGAAGCTGCTTCAGTGATGGGAGTAGAAGTCAGCCAGCCTCCGAGAAAAAAGTGTCTTTTTTTTTGTTTTTAACAGATTCATGGTAAACCAGAAATAGTGCTAAGCACTGCTCCTTTGCCAGTGCTGCCACAGTTGGTTCATCTGTTTAGATTCATGTACGTTTGGGAATCAAAGTGCAATCTGCAGCCACTTGCACAATTCCTCTGAGGCTGGCAGTGGCAATTTAGCAGTTGTTGTCTCGTAATGCTTATCTTTAGGGCCAAGAAAGTGGAGGGTGTCATAAAAAAAGTAATTATTAAAATGGTGTAAGATAAACATGGTATGTAATTACCTTTTTAAAGTAGATACAGTTTCCTGGACAAGGACAGTTGAGCTCTGTGACATTTAGGTTGTAAAGCAACTTGCACTGTACCTCACCTTGGAACTGCTCTTGCCTTGAGCTGAGTTCTCGTAGCATGTGCTCTGTTTTCATTTAAAGGTTGTGAGATTCAGCTCTAAGTGGCTTGCTGTCGTTACCTCGAAGGAGCAGCTCTTGTTGCATCTGCTACAGTGCTCTGCTTTGTTCGTTTCCTACATATCGGGGTCCTTGAGGAGCAGAGCCTTTTTGATTAGCAAGGGGAGGTGTATAAGGAAGCTATTTAATTAGGAAAGCTTCATTCTTTCAGTTGGAGAGCTCTTCTGGCCTAAAGCAAATCATTATCTTTTTGTGAGAAGTGTAAGAAAACGGGAGCTACATCATAGACTTGTGCATCGTGAACTCTGCAAAAGACAGGTCTAGATCAAGAGTTTTTATGTGCTATTTTCATTGTTGGTGCCACTCAACCTTTAAATTCTTCATTTTCTCTTCCTGTGTACTTCTAGGTTACGTTACCGGGGATATTTTGGAGGTGTAACAGCTCTAACAAGAGACCAGTTTTCCAAGGTGAATGGATTCTCTAACAACTATTGGGGTTGGGGTGGAGAAGATGACGACCTTCGAATCAGGTAAAAAGAAGGCTACATGGAAATGGGTGTGAGAAGGGAGGAGCTGGGTTAAAAAAATAAATAAAAGCTGAGAGACTTCAACCTAGCCTTCAAAGGTGAAATGCTACAGAGTTCTTGAACACTGAAACAGTATTGCTGTATGGAGATTTGGAGTAGTTCTGTATATGTCTTCCTCTTCAAAAAGATTAGGCAAGTCCACAACCTGAGAGAATTGCTGGTAGGCTTTTGTTCATTGATTTTTGTTTCAGCTCCAGAGCATTTCTATTCCACTTTAGAAATTGGCTGTAACCAAAATAAGATTCAAAGTCTGGAATAGTGTTTGCTTGAGATACAAATGTACCAAGATCTACTCCTTTTGCAAGAGTGTGGGAGTTCTTGGTTTTGGCTTTTTTATTTTTTAAATTCCCTCATTGACTACCCTAACTTTATCTGAGCAGAGCTTAGTTTGTGGGTGGTATTGGCTGTAGTTGAGACAATTTGCATTTTAGGAAGACTGTGCATATATCCACGTACCTTTTGCTCTTACAAACTGTCAGTTTGTAACTTGGATGTACTCTCTCATCCTTACATGTTTACCCTTTTCAATTGTTTAAATATGCAAAACATTTTGGAGGTGTACAAGTCATGCTCCTGGTGATGTTAAATAATTATACTGATTAAATCAAGTGTGTTAAAGTTAGGAACTTCCAGTGAAAGTTTTTGTTACTCAAGCAGAACAGTCAGCTGTGTCTCAAGAAATCTAAGAGCTTTACTCGGTGATGTGGGTTTCTGTCCTGTCTCTGTAACTACTCCCTTCCCACCCCCTAGTCTCTATCTAGAGACACCTACTTCTCTGTGGCAACTCAGAAGCTGGCTTTTTTAGTGGCAGGGGATGGTTAGTAACCATCTTACTCCCCAGCTTCTTGAGTTAATGAGCAAACAAACATGCTACTGGTATTCTTTCAAATGTTTGCGTGCACATTACAGAACAAGCTGCGCAGTAGATGGGTGGAACTTGGAAGTGTTTGCAAGTGCTTGTAATCAAAAGTGATATTCTCTTGTGCTGGCCCCTGACAGCTTCCTGGATGTTGTGGTCTTTGGTATGGAAACCAAATTCTATGACACAGTGTGCAGTTGGCCTTAGTTCATGTCTTTCTTCCTGAGTAGATCTTGGACTGTGGTAGTTGCAGTATTTGTAGTGGTACTGAATAGGAAGCTTCCTTTCTCAGCAGGTCTCATAGTACAGAGATCACTGCAGCCTACCTCTGCAAAAGCAGCAGATGGCAGCAGCCCCTGCAGTATTTTTAAGAACTGAGGGCTGCAGTGCTGCTACTTTCCACTGATTAGTTTTTGTGCTAAGTGCTGTGCTTTCTCCTAGCTCCTCCCTACAGTGAGCAGTAGAAAGATTTTCATATCATCTGTTGTTTTTGATAATTTACTGCTACAGTTATTGGAAAGCTATAGGGCCTGCTTCTTCAGTCTTGGTTTCCTGCTGCTGCTCTCTCAGCTGCTGGTACGACTGGCAAAGACCTGGGCTATTCCTTAATTCCCTTTCTGCTGCTAACAGAGCAAAATTGTTGGGCTCCACAGATGATGTTTCAGGCCAAAAGTTCCAATCAAGTGCCTGATGCTAGACACTAGAATCCATGCATGCAAGTTAACATTTCTGGCCCTTTTTTTCATAAAGAGGTTATTTACGTGAAGGAAAAAAAAAAAAAGTTCAAAATTGCAGAGGTGCCTGCAGACCACAGGAAAACAAGCTCATTTCCTCTTCTTAGTGGAGAACTAGGGTAGGGGCTTCATTACATTAGTTGAAAGAGACTTGCTGCAAAACATGCGGTGTTTGTACAGACTTCCTAGGTTAATGTATGGAAGTAAAACTAGTATTGTCTGGTCTAATTTAAATGGACTCTGTTGTAAAATGTATTTAAAGCAAACTCTACCTGTTTCTCTTCAAAAGACAAGGATATCTGTCACCCTCCTGGACCTGCTGTACAAAAACCCAACTCTGTGAGCTCTCTTTCCGCAGCAAAATAGAGTGTGGAAGACGATGATGAGTTGCCTACAGTTCTATAAATTTGCTTCCATGGCACCTAACAGAGTTGAAGTCTCAGAACGTCGTTTCTTAAGAGCTGGCTTATAGGTGGTATCTTGCATATGGCACAACTGTTTCTTGCAGGGTTGAGATGCAGAAGATGCGAGTGATGAGGCCAGCTGCTGCTGTAGCCAGGTACACTATGATCTCCCACAGCCGTGACCTTGGCAATGAGGAGAACAGACAGAGGTAAGAGCAGTGTTCCATCTTACATTGTTGTTGTAGGAGCCAGGCAGCAGGTGGCCCTATGATTTTTAGAATACCATTTCAGAGATTAATTGGCTTAAACCCCTCTTCCCTATGCTGTACTGAAAGACTGTTTCCCTCTGTCCGTGCTGAGGATAAGAAAAGCATGAATTTATATTCCCAGAAGATGCAAAATGGCTATAGCTCTATCTCTAAGATTAGTGGACATGGGAGAGAGCTTAGAACTCCTCTCTTACGGAGTTTGGTTTTGTGCTGCTGTAACAATTTTCTCCTCTACTCTGTCCTCAGGATGAAGCTTCTGCGCCAGGTATCTAAAAAGTGGAAAACAGATGGGTTGAATTCCTGTTCCTATAGACTGCTGTCAGTGGAACATAACCCTTTATACATCAACATCACGGTAGATTTCAGCGTGCAGACAAAGACCTCAAAGGGGTGAGCACCACACAGGTTTTAGGAAATGGCAACGGATACTTGCAGCACTCTGCTCAAAGGAGCACCTCAGCAGCACAGAAGAATGTTTTTCTGCATGGCATCTAATTGATCAGCAGACAAGCTCACTTTGTGAGGGCTGGAGAGGTGGAACTGACCCACAGGCAGGTCCTGGTGTTCTTCTATGCACTTTCTGCTGAGATGTTTGTAAGCTTCTGTGTTTGGGCTGGTCCAGTAGAAGGTATTAGGTCTCCTGAAAAAAATATTTCTTAAAGCTATTCCTAAACTTCCAGTTTGAAGTAGGAAGGTGACACTACCAAGACTTTAAAAGGAGGAGGCCAGTCTTTTCCCCTTAAAAGCACAAGAGTTTTCTACCATCTATAAACTCGTTGAGAAAAGCTCATTTATTCCAGCCTGAAGAAAAACTGCTTTAGGGGTGGAAACAGCAATGATGAAAATAGGGGAGAAATGTTAAAGATCTCTCAATAAAATATAATCTGCTTAATTCAAAAGGCATCTGTCTTTCGTATGCTCAGCTCACCATGTAGTAGGAGTACTTAAGTGTCACACAGCAAAATGGAAGTCTCAATTCTGCATTAGCCTGCAGGTTAGACATTATTCAGGAGAGAGCTAGAAGGAAGTGCACAGGCTGTGTGAGATGGAGAAAAACTTCAGCTCCTCTTTGTTCTTTCATGGCTTAGGCCATACTGTTAGCAGCACGCGTATCTGTGTACCCAACAAAGCTGTTGCTGTTTCTGATTCTTGTTTTTATAGGAGTGGTATGGATAGCTGTTCCAGTATGCTCAGGGATTTCTGCTAAAACTCTGATTAGAAAAATTCCTTACTGCACCTGATCTGTCCTTTATCCATGCCTGTTGGATACACAGCCCTTGCAGGCAGCTGCAAAGCTGGGGGATTTTCTTTTAGGAAACTGTATTAAGAATTACACAACAACAAAAAAAAACCAACCTATGTTATAGAATTTCTCTGTCTCTGGTTGACATGTACCACTTTAACTGTTGAGAAAAATGAAGCCTTTAATAGATTCTTGGGTATTAGAGATGCAGCTTTTCAGTGAACAGAGAACAGGAATTTGACTCTAGTTTATGCAAATAGCAAGGTAAAAAATCCTATCTTACACTTGCAAAATAGTTGGGGCTTGTAGGCAGTGCTACTGATTGACTGCCATAGAGAGAGATGACAAAAAGGGCAAGATGTAGAGCAGACCATCAGCCTCACTGTCAGGTAAGTACAAATGTACTCTTGCCAGGGTCACAGCTCTACTGTTGACATATTTGACTTATTTTTTCCTCTAGTATTTCATTTCTCAAAAGTGTTTTAAGTGAATGCAGATCAACCTTGAGAGATAATTAACATTTGAGCAATGGCTGAAATGGTAGATTAATTTCCATCTGCTGAGCATAGCTGACAGTCTGAGGCCTCCTTAGATGTGAATTACTCACGGCTGCAGTAAGAACTCATAATCTGGCCAGACAAGCAGGAATTTAAGCTATGGTTTCATCTAACTTCAGGGCAACTTTCTCCTTTATTAAAATCTTATTAAATACTCTAGAAAAATCTTAATCCAAACAAACATCTCAACTTTCTTGACACAAATTCACAAATATTCACAGAACTGTAATGAGTTTCAACACCAAGCAAGTTCTCTCTCAAAATACAGCATTTCAGAGGACTGACAGAATGGCCTGAATCCCACTTACCACTTCAGTAAGCAGCAGAACAGAGCCATCCCATTATGTAACAAAGGTTCCAGAAAACTTGGGTCAACTTACTGTCAAGGAGACAGCCTCTCTCCAGCCTGAGGGATGACAGGTAGATTTGGTTCAGTAGTTTTACAGTGCTTTTAAAAGACTTTTGTAATAAGCCAGATCCTGTTTGTAGCTATCATGCCTCATTCCTGAAGCCTTTTCTTCAAAGTCTCCCATAATCCGAAGAAAAGTTCAATGTGTGAAAGACAACAGGATTAGTCTCAGGTGCTGCAGACTCTGCACCACAGCCAGAGGTACAGGCTGAATACCCATAACTGTGCTGTCACAGTGAATTCAAACTCCACTTTAGTTGTCATTATCTTAAGAAAAGGGAGGAACGTATCCAATGTCCACAGTAATGTTGGTATAAAGAGGATGCTTTGTTCTGGAAAGGAGCTTGAACTCTAAAGAGTTCATCCCATCATCCTTCCAAGTTTTTCCAGTGTTGTGGTGGGAAGCAGGCCTGAAGAAAGGAGAACAGTTGCCATTAGAGAAAAGAACAAAAGTGATGATAACAACTGATGCTTTGAATAGAGGTAACAGAAGAAAAGGTATTCTGGAGGGCAAAGGCTTAGCATGTGAAAGCTGTCAGCAAAGCCCCAAGAAAATCCTCTCCCTATAATTACAAATGAGAAGGAGAGAATGCTTAACAGGGTTGGGTTGAACTTTGTGCAGAGTATTACAAACAAGGAGGACAGCATGGTCTGGATCCTGATCAGAAAGGGGGTGGTGATTGGATTCTGAAAAAAAAGAACAAAAGAAAAAAAAAAAAGAACCTGGTAGCAAGCAAAGAGACTTGGGAGCACAACAGAGAGACTTGCAAAAGCACTGAACACAGACAGCAATAAGGAGGTTTAAGACAGAGTTGTTATGGAAACCTCAGGTTAAGAGGAGGGAGGGAAATCTGTGCTGTCACTATGAGAAGCCCTCACTTGCCCCAGCAATCTCTTCTATTGCTTTTATACAGAAGACAGACTGAGATGGCATTTTCCCTGAATAATTTGATGCTGAAGTTTGATACTTGCAAGCTGCCTGGCTAGCAAATATTCTTAACTTCACACTAGGTAAGAAGTAGGAAACTAGAAGTGCACCTACCCTTCCAACGCAGAGATAAAGCAGCACTGCTCAAGTGAAGCTAACTGGGAGCTTTCTTTAAATAGCAGCATTGAAACAGAAAAACAAGCAGTGGCATGAGGTTTACTTCCCACCTTTCTTAAGGATGACGACGTAACAGCCTGCCACAAGGAGCAGTCTCTGAGCTGCTCTCTCTGGTACAATTACCTTCTCCAAGGCTCTTCTGTCTCTCTCTTGTAATCCATCACTTTGTAGCGTCCAAGGTGCGGTGGGTTCCGCACAATTCTCATGCCTGCTAACTGGATCCTTTAAAATGAAGAACAAAATGTGTACTTAGGTATAAAGATGTCATTGCCAGCTAACAATTGGACTTTGTATAACTTACCTTAAGCAATTAATTACTGAATGATGGCATCTATGTTAGCTTACCAACAGAACTTGACAGTAATACTGTTAGACCCAGCAAGTCTTTGTTTATCACACAGGACCCTTCATATTCACAGGAATTTTCTTTGCAGAAGAATGAAATTGTGCTGAATTTAGGTTATCTAACTGGCATGTCTGCAGCATTTAATTGCCTTCTGTTGTGACCTGGTGCAACAGCAAGCTGCACTGAAGTGGGAATACTCTAAAGCTGGAAGAAGCTACAGAACTGAAAATACTTATCTAGAAAATGATTTCAACGTTTCATTGACAGTAATGACATACTAATAGATATTTCAGTTTTACACAAGGCACCTTGTTGCATTGGAATTTTACAAGATTTGCACCAGGTGGGTCTTACTCACAGAGGAACAGAAAGAACACCATACACAAGCTTGACAGGACCTGCTGAACCAATCCAAGGCTGAAGGTGACAGTTTCCTGTCATCACATCATTACCAGTGACACGATGTGGTGTCACCACTACATGCCAGAGTCAAAACACCAACCCAGTGTGGTGACGGGTGAATTTGCCATCAAAGAAATGTAAGACACAGTCCTCAGCAGGCAAAGGCACTTTTGGGATAGGAAAGGGGTGATCTTCACAGATTTCCTGGAACTCAGAGAAACCATCAGCTCTGACCACTACATCAGAATACTGACTAAGCTTAAGGCTTGAGCATCCAGAGAAGAATACTTTTTTTTCTTGCAACAAAATAACGGCAGGCTCCATACCATTCAAAGACCACTGTGGACACTGCCAGTCTTGCCTGGACTGTCCTATCACACCCACCACACAGTCCAGATTTAGCAACTTTTGACTTCCCTGTTTTGGACAATGAAAAATGGACTACCTGGGCAACATTTTCCTACTAACCAGCACTATCACAACAAACATGAAACTGTGCATCACCTCCAATGTGCAGCACGCAGGCTCTTGTTCTTCACTGGCAAAAAAACAACAACAACAAATGCATACCTAGTTGTGGTGACTATGTTGAAAAACAGTGTTTTATAGCTGAGAATTTGCCCTATCAAATAGCATTACTGTGCTCTTTGTAACTGTTGTAGTTTCCAGGGAAATAAATAGGAGGCATTACTTTCAGAGCAAGCTATGTACTATTTTAGCTAGCTTGCTCTGAAAGGCAGAGAAGGATTTCTATGTTAACCTGATTTCAATTCCCAGAAGAATGCTGCTGTTGAGAACTCTAGCAGCTTTCAAACCAGAACGTTACACCATAACTGTAATGCTGTGCAAGACCAAAAAAGCATAAGGCCTTTATTGTCAGTTTAGCTTTTCTAACTACCCTATTAGCTTGGCTCAGTGCAGGATGGTACACAGTGCAACTGCAAAGGTGAATAAAGACACAGCTGTGATTTTGTACTTAAAGAATCTGCATTAGGCTAAGTACCTGAAACAACTCATTTTGTTCACTTCTATAGCATGCTGCTGCCATAGCAACCAACATACAAGAAAAAAAAAAATTCAGTCAGCTTGTGCTGTCACTCACAATAGTTCACAGACTTCTCCATCACTCAGCACGGAGGGCAGAAGTTGGAACGAAGGAACAGACCATGCAGGTTAAACAGCCATTAGTAACTGAACTCTGAGTATTAGTGACTAGGTAGCATTTGGAGCAACCCATGTGCCTAATGTAAATTCAGAACTGTTTGGGAATTAATAAATACTTCTTGATTTTCTTGTTTATCAAGTTTACAGATTCACTTCCTTGGGACTATTAATGTCAGTGGAGTCACAGCATGTCAACTA